ATGACAGAAAAGAAAACCATATGGGAGTCAATGTGCAATCTGCAAGATCAAGTTTTTAAAACTGTGTAGTCTTGAATGAAATCCATTTGGAAAAGATTATATAACAAAAATAGAACATAGTCAATAAAATAACTTGAGTTCAAAAAAATTATGACCAAGTATAGAGGATGAACTTTAAGCAAAATTGAAAATTTTGTACTAGTCATCTCACTTTTTAAAGCACTTTATATGAGTTTGTTATTTTTATCTTTATAACAGCCTAGTGAGGTTAAGACATATGCATATTGATTCATATTACTTATTTATAGCAACATAATGTCATGCTATTTTGGGGTCAAGAGATCCAGATTTCTTGATTGACAGGTCAGTGTTTGTTTTTTAACAATACTCTTTCTGCCTAACCTCCCTAATCTATTAAATATGATATAAAGTTCATAGTCAGAAAATATAATTTGAGGACAGTGAAAAAAATACCAAAGAGAAGGTTTGGTTTACTTACATCCTGAGATCCAGTAAAATATTTTCCTTACTTTCATCTGAAGGAAATTATTTAAAACATAACCTGTAAATCACGCGCATGGAACACACACACTGTTTTTCCCATGAATTTCCGTTCTACTTAGTGTAGATAACTGGTACACTCATACACTTTATGAAAGGCAGCCTCTTAGCTGACATCACATAAGCTAGCCCTGGGTGCAAGAAGCTTCTGGAGTGCAGATACTCTCTGTGCTGTGGATAAACTTCTGACAACCCTGCATCAGTTGGATAATAATATGAGCAACATAGACTACCGATAGCTTTTCAGGTTACTGAAATTGTATATATTTGTAGTAGATTTATCTGTTTGTATAACAAATATCCAGAAGTGAACTATGCAAAGGTTTGAGGCTGCCATCTACTCCGTGGGAGAAAGATAAAGCTTTCTGCTCCCACAAATAATTTAAATAGTTTTGGAAAGCCTATACAGGGTGACTACGTGTTGGAAATGACTCGATGGTATTTAACCACAAACAACAACAACATGCGAAGGTGAAACTCCCTAGATGTTACAAACAATTTGCCTTTGTCGACTGGCCAAATAGAGTCCTGGTGTGGCGCTGTGGGTTAATGTACCAGACTGCAAAGCTGTTTGAACTGCAACGTCGGCAGTTCAAGCTCACCAGTTGCTCCTTGAAAACCCTACACAGGGTCTTTATGGGTTGAAATTGACTCGACGGCACCTCACAGCAACAACAACTGGCCTAAATGGAGTCCAGTTGTGGCACTGTAGGATAAGCACTGGACTGAAAGGTTGGTTTGAACTGCAAGGTCGGCAGTTCAAACACACCAGTCACTCCTTGAAAACCCTATACAGGGTCACTATGAGTCAGAACTGACTCAACGGCATTTAAAAACAACAATACTGGCCTAAAGGCTGTCAGTTTGAATCCACCCATCAGCACCACAGAAGAAATACTTAAGTAAACATTACTGCCAAGAAAACTATCTTGTTGTTGTGATGTGCCATGGAGTCGGTTCCGACTCATAGTGACCCTGTACAGGGTTTCCGAGGTTGTAAATCTTTATGGGAGCAGAAAGCCTCATCTTTCTCCCATGGAACAGCTGGTAGTTTCGAACTGCTGACCTTGTGGTTCGCAGCCCGATTTGTAACCACTACGCTACCAGTGCAGCTTTATTCCATAATACACTGGGTTGTCATAAGTCAGAATCAAGTTCTTGGAAATGTTTTGCTTTGTTTTGTTTGTTTTATGTGTTGTTGTAGTTGTTTAGTGCTGTTGAGTTTGTTCTGATTCATAGTGACTCTATATAGTCAAGGAACAGCTGGTGTGTTTGAACTGCTGAGATTTTGGTTGGCAGTCCAATGCGTAACCTACAGTAACACACCAGGACTCCTGTTTTATGTAGATGTGAGTAATAATATTAATAAAATGAGTAATATGAATGAATAATATTAGTAAAATGAACAAAATAATATTACTGAGCATATACTGTTTCCTATGTTTCACAGATAGAGATGTTCTTACCCTAATGTTTTATTTTTGATCTCTTTAAATTGTTAATGAAGAACACAGTAGTAATCCTATTGTCAAATAAATACCATTGCTAGTTCACATTTTTAGACCCAGAATTTCCTTGTTAGCACAAATCATATAGGATATTGTTATTGTTGTTTTTAAGTGTCTTTGGAGTTGGTTCCAACTCATAGTGACTGTGTATAGGGTTTCTGATGATGAGTGGATGATGAGTTTGAACCCACGACCTTGCAGTTCAAACTTACCTTGAAGTCAAGGGCATATCCTACATTGCCGCACCAGAACTCCATATAGGATAAAGTCATCTTGTTTTGAGTTTTGTCCAAAATGTGATGAGAATACTGGAAAGTAACTGATCATGTTTCACCCATTTGGTCTAAGATGCATTTGGAAACATGATCAGTTCTTCCCTGCCGTCTATTCCAGCCATGTTGAACTGCACTGTTCTCTTTTAATTCCTGACTTTTGTAAATCTTGGTTCTGTTTCAGGAATGAGCTTTGTTTCTGCTCTCACCTTCAAACCCCATCTTGATCTCCAGCTGTTATTGCTGTTAAATGCTATCGAGTCCATTCCAACTCATACCGATCCTGTATAGGGTTTCCGAGGAGCAACTGGTGAGTTTGAATTGCCGACCTTGTGGTTCCAACTGACATTGCGGTCCAATGCTTAACTTACAGTGTGCCACACCAGGATCCCATTGTTGTTGCTGTTGTTAAGTGTCGTCGAGTCAGTTCTGACCCATAGCAACCCTGTATAGGGTTTCCAAGGAGCAGCTGGTGAGCTTGAACCGCTGACCTTGTGGTTCAAATCGACTTTGCAGTCTCGCACATTAACCCACAGTGCCACAGTTCCATTCTCATCTCACATCTTTCTCTAGAAATTTGCCTCTGCTCAGTTCTCTCAACACTAACACTGCATCCAGAGTTATAGATGCCTTCCCAAGTCACTCTCTGTTTCCCTAGCTCCTCCTCAGCCAGACACCAAAAGACTAAATATATTTTTGAAGACAAGAATTGTATCTTGGTCATTGTTGAATTCCCAGGGTTTATCACAGTGCTAGTTACATCCAGAAATCCTGGTGTGGTGCTGTGGGTTAATGCACTGGACTACAAAGTCGGTTTGAATTCCAAGGTCAGCAGTTTAAGCTCACCAGCTGCTCCTCAGAAACCCTATACAAGGTCACTATGGGTTGGAAACAACTGGATGGCACTTAACAACAAAATGTGATACACAGCATTTGAATACAGAACTATTGTCAGGCCATTGGCCATTCTATGGTCTTTGTAAACAAATTTCATTTCCCTTTTAGATAGAGTATTTGCATTCACTTTACAGACACTGTGAAAATTAGTTCTTGTTCCTACCAGGTCAAATTATCATCACTCTATTTGAGAAGTATTTTTTTACTCTTCGAGCAGTAGTTATCAATCAGGACAAGGAACATTTGGCAATGTGTGGAGAAATACCACATATTTGACATAACTGAGGGCTTCTGTTAGCATCTAGTGGGTGATAGTGAGGTATGCTGCCAAACACAAACATTCTACAAGCACAGGACCTCCTAACAGCAAAGAATTATCAGACTCCAAGTGTTCAAAATGATGAATTTGAAACTGTGCTGCTTTAAGACTACTCCCAGTCTTTCCTATGGAAGCCCCAATTTTTTTTTTTTTTTAAATTTCATCTTGTACCTGCATGGCTTGCTAGTGTAATTGACCAAATGTGATTGAATTTGGGATATAAATGCCTAAGAATAATGCTTCCAAATTTTATAACTAAGACTGCAGTAAATCAGTCATTTACTATGGGTAATTACCAAACACCAATATTTTTTAATAATCGCATTCCAAATTTTCTGGACAGTCTTTAAATAAATTGATTATCTGTAAGACTCTACTTAAATTCATTCTTTTTAGCTTTTGGCCTGGGCAGGAAACAGAGCAACAGTTGAAATAATGAGCTTCGGTTTATTCCTTCTCTCAGTGAAGGTTGTAGGTTGGGAATTATTTGTGAATACTGCAGCTATGCTAAATTTCCTAAACAAGCATGAGGATATGTGCTCAAACTTCTCAAACTTCTTCAAAATGTATTTTATTTGTTTAACCTCAAGTCACGTAAAGAATTCAGCTAAACCTCAGCACTTTAAGGATAGACCACTTTGGAGTAGATGCATCTGAGTCCTGCCTTAGAATAAAATTGCTTCCTAATGTCTTGCAGGGAGCCTTGTGCCTCTGTAGGATAAGCACTGGACTGTGAACACCAAAGTCAGCGGTTTGAGTCTACCAGCTGTTCCGCGGGAGAAAGATGAGGCTATCTACTATGAGTAAGGACCGTCTCGATGGTATTTAACAACAACAAGGAATGCCTGGTAGTTCATGTTGTTGTTGTTATGTGTCATCACATCGGTTCCGACCCATAGCGACCCTGTACAGGGTTTCCGAGGCTGTAAATCTTTCCAGGAGCAGAAAACCTCATCTTTCTCTCACGGAAGAGCTGGTAGTTTCAAACTGCTGACCTTAAGATTTGCAGCCCGATTCATAGTTCATAGGCAGCTGCAAATTTTCCTGGTGATTTGGTAAATTCCACCAAACAACCTTTGGTGTCAGATTGTATTTTTTCAATTAATCTGATTTAAGTGAGTAATCATACAGGTCAAAACACCGTCTCTATTAGGCAGTGTATGCAGAAAAAAAAAAAATGAAATAGAAACGTTAGAGTTTGGATTCTGCATCTTATTTTCAGATTTACAGTTAATTACTTTTATGCATAAGTAATGGAAAATAGGAGTGGAATGGATTAAGCCATAGGGAAAGTTCAGTTGGTTTGATTGAGTAACTCATCAGTAAATATCAAGAAACTGATTTTTGATGTTTTCTTTTCTTTTTTTTTTGTTGCTGTAAAAGGAAGCTTTATTGTTTTCACTTGGTCTATGGCTTGGGAGACTAGAGGCTCTGGGTTGTTAACTATGCTGCCTCTGTGGCTGGAGAGCAAGGTTCAGGGAGAAGGTCTGAGGTGAGCAGAGGGATGCAGAAAGGCCCTTCACAGGTTGCGGGATTCCACAGGCTCTTCCTAGTCATGTGCTTGAAGGTGAGTCTCTCCAAGAGATATTCGCCCAGCCCTGCCATCCTACAGAGATTGGTCAAATGTTTGCCCATTTTCTTGATAATTTTTACCTCCTTGTCGAGGAAATGGTTCTCCCTAAAGTCACAGAGATGAGGGTCTGTGTGGGTAGCACCCATGGCATGCAGATCCAGAAGAGACTGGTTCAGGTTCTTCTCCAGGGCCAGGGCGGCTTTCATGGCATCCAGGATTCTTCCCCACTCATCTTGGGATGGCTTCTGCATGTCCCGGCAGAGTGCGCAACCATCACACCAGTTTTGCAGTTTCAAGAGACGTTCAGCACCCTCATGCTTCTCCATCGCCATCTCACAGAACAAGTGTCCCCCACCTTCCAAGACCACATCATCACAACTAAAATAGAAACCAAGAGAGAAGTAGGTGTAAGAGGCCTGCAGATGCAGATTAACCAGATGGTTGACGCCAGCCTTCTCTTCAGCGGCATAATTCTGACGGATCTGAGAGCTTATGGTTGGTTGAAGATTTTGGAGCTAACCACACAAACACACACACAAAAATGGTGTTAGCTGGTCCCAGTAACAGGGAATGGTCAAGAAGATGGTCCCGGAGAAGAGATTGCACCTGAAGATGTTAAAGGTGGTCCAAAGCTGGAGGTGCGGGAGTCCCAGGATCTGTTCCATTCAAACACTGTTGAAGCAAGACACAGATTCATGGGGACCTCAGGGTGGACTTGGAATGGATTATTTCCACCACTCTTCTTTGGCTTCTGTTTTGTTAGATTTATTTTATGATGGCAAAATGCTGCGGTTCCAGTCTTTGACACGGACACCACACAGACTAGATGAGAAGAGAATGCTTCTTTTGGTAACTCACTCTAAAAAGAGAAAAAAAAATTATTGTGCAGAGACCCCAGCAGAGCATCATTTGGATCTCATTGACCTAAAATATATCATTGACCATTTTTAAAACTATGTCTGGCCAGGGTAATGCCAAGACTAATTGGCTTGGGTGTGGATACCTGCATCAGTTTTAAGAGCTCAAAGAGGACATTTCTAATTATTAGGAGGGAATTTTTATTCTGGCAGTGAGAGTAAGAACATCTTTACTCATGTTCTGGAATGTTTGTCTATATTTTACATGCTTAACTAACTGGAAAGTGAATTTGAAAGAGCATGTTCTCTTGCTTATATTCTTCCTGTCTCCTATTTTAATATATGTCCGTTCACAAAATTTAGACTCAGTTGTTCAATGTGCATAATACAAGATGCTATTAGGCTTGTTCTCTTTTATGGATTCAAAATCACTCATTTAGCACCGACTTTATATCAGGTATAAAAATGAGTCCTGGTAGCACAATGAGTTAAACATCAGGCTGCTAGCAGAAAGGTCAGTGGTTTGAACCCACGAGCTGCTTCATGGGAGAAAGATGTCGTCGTCTTTAGAGAGTTACATCTGGGAATCCCAATGGAGCAGTTCTGCCCTGTCCTATGAGGTCACTATGAGTTAGAACTGGCTCGATAGCAATGGGTTTCCTTTTCTGGTTAGGTTTTACCATGTATGAGAAAGGCCCCTGGGAATAAAATGGTGATCACAACACGGTTCCTGTTGTTAGAGAACCTGATTTTGTAATATAAGCAAATGAACAAGTTCATTAAAATGTGACAATGTTATTGTACAGTTATGCAGGGTCTCAGAGTTGAGGTATTTACTATGATTTTGTGGAGATGAGGCATCCCAAGGAGATTGGGATATGACAGGTTTATGGAAGCTTGCCAAGAGAAGATATGGTGGGGAAGGAAGCAGAGAGAAAAATGGTGCACTTTGAAGAGGTGTATGAAAAGACCTGTGATGATGTCTGAAATTTGCTTACAAAACCTTACTGGAAACAATATGATACTATCAGTGTAAAATCAGGTTGGTCAATTGCTATAGTGAAGAACACACACCCTTAGAGTTTTCAGCTGGTATACAGTGAGGAGCTTAATTCTTTTTTAAAAAGTTTTTATTGTGAATTGCTAATAATTTTCATGGGGGAACATCAGTTTTATACTCATCCTATCATATTTGTTTCATTGCAATGATTACAATCCCCTGCATGTTTCATCATTCAAAAGTATTTGCTTCTATTCCCTCTGTTTTTTGTTTTGTTGTACAACAAAACACTCAGGAATATACAATCATTCAAACAGTCAAAGGGCACACCCTGCAAGCCTGCCCCATGTTTGCAACCAACACACATCACCTCTTCCTCCATGAGTCTAGAGTCCTCCTGCTCCATCTCTCCATGTCATCATTTCTGCCTCCATCTCTGGCATCACTGCTCCTCTGGCTAGGGTCCCACACTCTACTTCTGCTCTTGTCCCTTTTTGGTCCCAGGGTCCTCTGATCTGGGACTGTAAGATCGACCACTCACCCCTTTTTTCTACAAAACTTCTACCTTTACAGTTGTGACAATCGCAATTACTCACTATTGAATCATGAGAGTCTTGTCCCCATCTCCTTTTACCAGACCTGTCAAACAGGATGAAAACCACTCAGTGGGGATTCTACCCTCCCTCTGCACATTCTGAATCTAAACTCCGTCTTGAAAACTTGTAAGTTAGTCACTTCGTGCTTTTACAACTCCCTCATTTTAGGTAGCCAATGTCTAAGTTACCCATCCCTAACAACCCTGTGTATAGAGGGAATGGGAATGATCCATGCTGTAAAGATTTTTTTCCCTTTTGCTTGGTATTTTAAGCTACGATATCTATAAGTATAGGTCAAGTTCATCAGATTGTAGCAATTTAAAATTGTTTCCTTTAAAAAAAATGCTTTTTCCCCTCTTTTCCTTCCTCTAGTTGGGTTCTTAACATCCAGCCACTGAAGCTAGGTCCAATGGGCACTATCTGCAAGTTTGGGTGTCCTTGTGCATATCCCCTTACTTCATATCAATTGTATGCTTCACTCTCAGCTCTAGCCCTCCATGGTCATGTCCTTATCCATGGGCTCAGGAGTCTCCAAGTCTCCCCCATAATCAGACTAACCAGATCTAGGTCGATCAGGGTCTATGTAACTATGTAACTATGTAACTTGCTCAAACTCAGAGAAGCTTAATTCTTTAGAAGTAACACCTACAAGTGTTTCAGTTGTGTTATATTACATCAACACCAGAGGGACTTGTTACATAGGTTACTTAATTATAGAAATAGAGGCCTAGTGTTATGCTGTAGGATAAGCAATGGATTGCTAACCACAAGGTCAATAGTTCAAACCCACCAGACACTCCTGGGAAACCCCATAGAGGGTGATTATGACTCAGAACTGACTCAATGGCACTTAACAACAGCAACAATGAGGTTGTTAGCATAAAGGTTGTTAGACAAAGGTTAATGTCCAGGAAATTTGGATTATGAAAACTGTTTTGGAGATATTCCCGCCCTTTTATGAATATGGTAGTATATGTGATCCATTCGCTATTCTGACTTTGTAATGACTTTATCCTGACCCCTTTCTAACTGTGTCCAATTATTATTATTTCAGAGGAAATCAATTATAGTGTAAAGTGGATATTGCCTGTAGAATGTGTGTTTTCTTTGCCTCCAATGAAAGTTTCATGAGAGGTAACATAAGGTAGAATAGCAACTGGGACTTCATATTACCTTATATAACATATAGAAAGGAATTTTGGAATCTGCTCACTCCCCTCTTTTATTCTTTTAAAGTCTCAATATTAGTATGTGAACTAACTGGACATTCTCAAGGAGACTAGAGTCAAGGAAGAGTCTGACCTGATCTTATACAAAAGCCATTCAGAATGATGGGAACATAACATTTGAGATAGAAAGAAAGTGACGAATGCTATGGCATAAAGCCAGGCCAGGAGACATTACAGGAATTGTGTGGATAGTAGACAGTAACAGATGCTGCTAAAGAGGTAAAATATTTTCATTTAAATGAACAACATGAGGGTCATTAATGATCTGGGCTAGTGGAATACAGGGAGTTGAGGAGTAAATAGATACAATGGTTCATAGCTAACAGATAGTATTTGCTATATATGTAGCCCACCACTGGTCTGTCAGTTTTTTGTACTATGGTGGTTTATGTGTTGCTGTGATGCTGGAAGCTATACCACTGGTGTTTTAAATACCAGCAGGGTCATCCATGGTGGACACATTTCAGCAGAGCTTTCAGACTAAGACAGACTAGGAAGAAAAAGAGGTGAATTACTTCTGAATGCTTAGCCACTGACTACCTTATGGGTAGCTGTGGAACTTTGTCAGATATCGTGCCAAATGATGTGCCTCACAGGTTGGAAAGCACTCAAAATATGACTTTGGAAGAGCAGCCTCCTCAAAGTGAGTTTTAGAGATCATACGAAGAACAGATTTGATACACTAAGCACTAAAAACCGAACACTAGAAGAGTTGTGGGATGACA